GCTCGCGCGGTGTTCCCACCAGATGTGAGCTAAAATGTGAAGGCACCGGTGGTGGAACGTAACTAGCCTCTTCAGGTCCGCTGCTTTAAGCGGCCACGTTTCACAGCCGTACACTAAATAAATATAAATAAGTTAATATGCCGCCTGTGCGCCTCAACGGCGCTTTGATGCCGCGTGACCACCATCAGTCGCGTGCGGGCCGAGTATCCCGCGAGGACGCCCACCCCTACGCGGATTCGAACCGGGGACCTTATGGTTGCAAACCAAGTGCGCAGACCACTTGGCCACCGGCCGACGCGGCAACACACGAGGACACCGGTGCAAGTTTGTTGTACCGGATTTGAAGCGGAGCGCCCACCAACTGTTCCAGACGGAGAGTATTGAACATATGGAACAATCTACCACCACATTTAATCGATGGAAGGTCGGTGCCGGAATTGAAGAAATTTCTGGACAAACACTGCCGACATGAAAGATCAGGGATGCTCTCTAACATAACTGGTCACCATACCTGAGGGATTTTAGAAGCAGCTACGGTGAGGCATCTTTTCTTGCTGCTTTCAACTAGTTTTCGATTTCCGGTGAATTTTGGTCAGCAAGTTTTCAAGATTTGATGACGATGGAAGAAAGTTGTCACGGAATATGGGACATACATATGTTGGCCGCCTATTGTATGCGCATCAAACGCGATTGCTCTAGGAAAATATGTCAGTCCGTAGCCTATAGGTAACGAACTTGTCTCGTTATCTTGCGGCGCGGGTTCTAATCCGCGTAGGAGTGGGCGTCCTCGTGGTATACTCAGCCCGCGTGCAACTGGTGCTGGTCGCACGGCATCAAACGCCGTTACGGCGTACAGCTGACACATTTAGGAAAATATGTCGACGTGCGAGCCTGTATTTCATTCGACTCTGTGCTTTTGTCATGCCTTTTGAGCAATTTGTTTGCATCAATTACGGGGTGGCGCACGAAATGTCATACCATTTCTTTTCTTCATTACACATTGTAGTATTAAAAATTCATATCCGGATACTGGTTTATGGAAAATCCTGTAAATATCACTAGAAGTTTGTATGGAATATTTTCTTCGTGCCAAGCACCATTTTCATGATGGCGCGTAAGAGCACACTGAGTGTTAAACAGAAGGTGAAAGTTGTAATGTTTCTTTATAGAGGAGAGGAGTTTTGTAGCGACACAAAAACCTTTTCGTGCACACTTTCCTACAAAATGGGCTCCATGTAAACAAACTATTTGAGATTCGGATTGGTGGTTTGGTGAATATGTAATTTTTGTAGAAACTAGAAGCCACGGTTAAAGTTTGCACAATAATCTGCGTCAACGGGGAATCGAACCGCGGACATACAGATTGTATTGTCAATTTGAAACAACTGGGTCTGTGGTGGTGAAGAATCGACGGTGTAAACCAAGTGTCCGCACTTTGAAAACATGGGAGCAGTTCGCGTTACTTTGATACGATGTCCTAGCAAATCAACAAGGGGCACGGCTGCTGAGTTAAGAATATCTCGTCGGTCCATACAAAGGATTCTGCATTCTGTCTTTCAAATGTTCCCTTACAAGATAACATTTGTCCATAAATTAACAGCAGAGGACAAGCAACGGAAACATCAGTTCGCTTCATGTTTAGTGCAAGAGGATCACATTCTGTACAACACGTGGTTTACTGACGAGGCGTATTTTCCTTTAAATGGTGTAGTGAATAAGCAAAATGTTCGTTTCTGGCCAAGTGAACATTATCACCTGCACGAAAGGGACACTTATGGAGAAGAGCTCAGTGAATGGGCAGCAATTTCATCTCATGGAATCATCGGGCCCTTTTTCTTTGATGAGACGGTAAACAAAGATCGATATAAGGACATGTTGGAAAACGGATTTATTCCAGAACTCTTGGCAACAGGTCTCCCATTACAAACTCAATTGTTCGTGCAAGACGGATCCCGTCCATACGCTGTAAATGTTGTTCTTGGTTACCTGTATGACATGTTTGATGGGCGGGTAATGTCACATCGGTTTTCTGAGCGTCACCAAGGTTAGAGACAGTGGTCCCCGCATAGCCCTGATATCAATCCATGTGATTTCTTCTTGTGGGGCTAGGTGAAAATTAATGTCTTCAAAAGAAAGTTTTGCAAGTAATGCTCAACTCAGGGTTCTCATCATGCAGTTGTGCCGTCTAATTTCGGAAGACTTACAGGAAGGTTGTCACATATGTAAAGATTCGCTTGCAAGTGGTTGTGAAATAAACTGGTGATAACATTGAACACATACTACATTGAACGAAATTTCCATGCTCATACAATCAATTTTGCACTAATTTAGTAATATTTTGATGATAAATATAAGTGTAATGAACAAAAAAATGGTGTGACCTTCCGTGAGCTACCTTGCAATTGATTTGAAACGCATCGAGCCACTGTGAATGCTTTCTTTTTCAGAACTCTTCCTGGTTCGTTTTCTAAATATTTATACCTTAAAGGGAAACGCAAATGTCATCTTGGAGTTCAGCATTGTTGGTTTCTATGCTGCGAAATGCACAATGTGATAAATTGAAAAGTAGCTATGTGTGCAAATTGAAATTTATTGTCGATTTTCAAAAAACGCCTAGCTTACAGCGAAAATGTCAGATTTAAATTAAGCATGCTCAAATTTTGTAAAAGCCGCTGTTCACTTCCTTGCAACAAAAATGTTGTTGCGCAATGTTATTGTTATGACGACGCGAGTCATGACAATTGGGTTCACCTCACTTTGTTGCTCTGAATATGCTTACCTAAAGAAATTAGACTAAATTCCGATTGTTATCTGAAATTCCAGGCTGGCAACCTCACTCTGATAAACTGCTTCATCTGGGGTTCGATTCACACTGATTGCTGAGTTCTACTCCATGTTGTTCCTTGTCTTTCAGGGGGTACACTTGAAGATGCCTGCTACTCGGATGTGTTAGATCATGATAGCTATAATGGAAACATCCCTTGCCGCCTTAGATGCATTTCGTTAGCTATTGGCTACATCAGTGACGATATTCTTGGTTATCTGGATCCTATGTAGTTAGCATGTATGGTGTCGCTTTTGCTACCTCACTGCCCTAAGACTATGGTCTTGCAATAAGCATTCCATTCTTTCAACATTTTCTTTGTCCTCTCAACCGGTCGCTTTGCGCTTGTACCTATGTCCCTTACACTCTTGCACAAACTATCATCTGTATCATTTTGCAGCTGCCTAACAGTTATGTTAAAGATATTTTGAGTACCGGTTTACCTGACAGAGTCTCTCGCCAATGTTGAGCTAATGTGAATTACCTACCTATGCTCAGAACAGATACTTCCGATGGATCCACGTTAGCATGCTAGTAACTAAGAAAATCGAATGCGAATAAAAATTCCATACATACGGGACGGATAGGGGTATTACTCTTAGACGCAATGATAGGAAGGTAGGGGTACTGAGTCCAGTTCATTGTCCACGTTATTACCTCGACTCTGTCCCATTTAAAGGATTTTCCAACCACCATAGTGTGGTCTCTCCAGGGGCCCCATCTGACAAAGTTTCGTTCAATCACTTGCTTCCTTTCGTTTACGTTGTCGGCTGGCCAGCATAGTTAGCGTAGTGTTCGAAGCGTTTCCACGCCCAGATAGACGACCGAGTGGCACATACGAAAGTACTGATCTAGACGGCACAAGCAGTTCGGGTGCAAAAGACAGTCTTGTACTGCACTAGGTTTATCGCAGCACCAAAATAATGGGTACAAATGCTACTCACTCAGCGGTCCAACAAGATATGAGGCCTGATAGATGTCAGTAGCCAAAGTAAACTAGTCTCTGAGTGTCACTAACGCGCAGCGTCCATGTTTCTGGTCCACGTAGTAGCACCAGCCACACTGCAGCGTTGCACGCCTTACCCTCAACGATATATATATATATATATATATATATATATGTATATATATATATATATGATACTACCAATTGCATTACAGTTGGCTCAGTGCCACAACACATAAGAGAGAAAAAAGGAGCTTGAAAGGGAAAACGACAGTTAGGGTAGAGGAGTCTCACAACGAGTACGCCATCACGTACGGTCCTTGGCCATATCCAGTAGCGTTTGCAACCAGACATGCTTGGGGCCCTTTGGTCACTAACCCGGGAGTCGGGAACGGCCCACAACAGCCAGCTTCGACGTTTGCACCTTAACACATTAGATCCAACTTTTACACTGGCCCCCTTGTAGTCGCTTCCATCCCACGCCTTCGCCCGCAAATAGGGCACGTCGTGGTAGCCGTTGGGTAATCATGCGGAGCACATGCCCAAGCCAGCAAAGCCTCCGCAGTGAAATGATGCTGTCTATCGGTCTGCAGAGTTTGCCAGATTTGTAGACTCAACTGAGATACTACTAACTCTTTTTTCATACATGTTTGTGGCTTTTATTTTCCACTTTGCCCTGTCAATGTGCTCGGCCATTCCTCCTGTGGTTACTTCTCTCTCAGAAGATGTTACTGGGCGAGTCATGGGGACACCCAATCAGCTTGACTAGCATTTTACTACACTTTGCCATCAACTTATACATCTCGTTTTCAAACTTAAGCCGTGGTACATGGAAAGGAAGGATGCAAGGTTTTTATTTTTCGTTTCAACTAGATGTTTTCAATGAAGTGTCAGGTCACGATGTGTGGCTGTTGTGTTCATCTGCTGACGCACTGTGACAATGAGTTAGTAAATAAAGTTTGTAACTTTGCTGCTCTCATCCAGTCTCCTTGAGTAGAAGTTTCAACATGTACGTAGTTGGCGTGGAATTCTCGAGTGTTATCAGTTGAACAAACTTCTTCGATCTGGAGTGGTGGCCGAATTCCGATGTCCCCATTGTGCGACACCCTGCATTTCCATCATGGCATGCATTTACTGCATGCACACACTTTTCTCAATCGCCACAAACACCACCGGAGATTTTCTCCATCACATCGTCTTTTGGCTAACAGTTCCCCATTTCTTTCACAGATCACGAAGATCCCCAGTGGTGCTACGATAACTTCATCAACTTTAGATCATTGAAGTCTGCTGACAACGTTCGTGTGCAATTGTCCCGCATCATGGACCGGTTTTCTCTCCGGCGTTCCAGCACAGATTTCAGTTCACGCGATTATTATCTCAACATTCGCAAGGCGTTGGTGTCCGGGTTTTTCATGCAGGTTAGTTACCTATATTGTACACCACTTTACGGAACTTCGCTGGTTGTCTGCTTGCGACTCTTCTTATTACCGTGCGACCAGCCGCCGACGGGTTACTTGATTGTGCTCCCTCCCGCATTAGTCTTTTATAGGGTCGCTACTTATTTTTGTACTATCATAATTTTGCGACTGCGGATCGTTCTGCTATTTACAACATTGCTCAACTCGAGCGCTTTGCAACAAAGATTTTACATTGAATATACCGAAGGCTAGAACGAACGTCCGCTCTAATTTCTTCTTGGTCAGATACAGCTAGCTGTGGAATAAACTACCAATAATACTCAGGTCATGTGACAATGTGGCAACATTTAGTAGCAGACCCGCTAATTATCTTGATCTAAATACCCTAAGCTCTATATCCACATGGGACAAATCCCTCAATGAGCTATTCCAAGAGGGGCCCAAAAACATATAAACACCAGTGTTTTCATAACTAGGCTTTAGCGTCAACCATCCGCCAGAATGTTAACACATAAAACGCACATCCCAAGACTCCACCTATTTATGTCACCCATGCAGGAGCATGGATCCTTCTGTACAAATTGATCTGTGCCGCTATAGGCACAGCTTCTCACATCAAGAGAAATATGCCTATTATTATTATTATTATTATTATTATTATTATACCGCATCTAACTGCACTTGCTTCCGCTGCTCACGCTTTCGCACGCCACCCGTTCATCTGTTAACAATCACTTTTGTCCGTTACCAGCCGATCCCTGTTCCCATGATTCTACTCCCGATAGTTCCGTTGACTGCCACAGAGTTCGCCGAATGGCCCTCCTTCGACCTGGATCCTCGTTACGTCTGATATTCTTTAATGTACGTACACTCATGCAGATCGGGCGACAGACTGGTCTCGCGCGCACCTTGGAATCCCTCGCCATCGATGTTTGTTGTCTTACTGAGACATGATTGCAAGATTTCAGTACCGTGAATGAGTTGAGATCTCCCACTGACCACAGAGCCATAATTCACCTACGCCTATCTGTTGACACAGAAGCAGCTGCGGCATGCTTGGTTGGCGTTGGTGTAGCGCTAAGTAGCAAAGCCGATGCCGCACTGCTGGACTGGTTCCCGACTAACGGCCGATTGTATACAGTTCGGTTTCGGGGATTGTGCAGGATCAACCGACATCATGAAGAGAGATGCAACTTCTTGTGACCTCAGCGTACGATCCAGTTGACTGGATTTGTAACTGTCAAGGACGATTTCTAGCGTGAGCTTCACCAGGTCTTGAGCAGAACATGTAAATCCGATATTGTTGCCCTTGCTGGGCATCTCAACACACGGATTGATCATCTGTTATCATGTGAAAGTCACATCGTAGTCATTATGCGCTCAACGAGGGCCTCTCAGACAATGGAGAGAGACTACTCGCACTGTGTGAAAACGATCATCTGTTTCTCTCGAGCGCCAGCTTCAGGCATTCGAGGAGACGTTCCGCCACTCGGCGCCTCCTTCTGCGACTCAGTCACGGTCTCAGATTCACCACATCGCAATCAGTTACAGATGGTGGGGTAGTGTAAAGGATTGCAGACCAATCAGGTTCACATTTTTCGACTCAGACCATATTGTTATTTGTGCGAACATCTGCATGAGTTTCGGAGAGCCTCCAAAAGATGAACGGCAAGTTGGATAGAAATAAACTCTCTCACTTCAGCTGGGCTATCAAGTTTCCCTGACCGCTGCGCTCAACTAAACATTGGTGAGCACTGGACGTTCATGCAGTAGGCATGATCGCTTCAGGACAATCCGTCTGTGGTCTTACTCAGCCCCCTATGAAGGCCTAGATCTCCACGCGGTCCCTGAATCTATTTGACGGTCGCAGGAATATCCCAGCGTAGTCCAATCGTAGTGGAGAGCGCCGTTCTGTCGGTCGGCAGCTCAAACAAAGCCTACGCAGTGATCGCGAAGCTTGGTGGTCTCGGCATGCTTCGGAAATTGAGGACGCCGCCCTGTCTGACAATATTCGCAAGCCCTTCCAGCTCATTCGATCTTCTGGCCACAGAGAGCCTGTTGTCAGTGGGACTATTTGCCCTATCTGACGGTTCGCTGATTGCTAGTCTACAGAGCCGCTTGGATCGATGGACCGAATTTTTTCATTCCCAGATCAATTGGTCCTCACCGTCTACTTTATATACCGTACGATCCCAGCTAACCGCCCTTGGTCGTTACATTTGAACCATCCAGCGAATCGGTAATTTACCATTTGGCAGTTGAAACGATTCAAAGCTGCCGACTCAGACCTCCTCCGAAACTGTTCAAATATGGTGACGCAGTTATCATCAGTCGACTAACCTCATTGTTCTCCAAAATCTTTTCCCTTCTTGGGGCAAATAAGTTATTATCCCGATTTTAAGAAGCGTGCTTGCACTTTATGAGGTAATCACTGGGGATCAGTCTTATTTCGGTTGCCTCCAAGCTATTGTCAACCATTCTACTTCGTATACTATCCCCGTTTCCTGTATAACAGTATCGAGAAGAACAAGTTGGCTTTCGTCCTGACCATGGGTGGGTGTGGTTCAAATTTCCACGCTCCACTAAATCCTCGAGCACTGTCACCTCTACCAAAGGCCTACCATGGTTGTGTTCGTAGACATCCGTGCGGCATTCCATTCGGTTTATCGATCTGTGCTATGGCCTTACTTGCTAAAGAACGGGGTACCGGAAAAGTATACTGCCATCTTACGCGCATTCTCCACCTCTTCAGCAGAGTGAGGGTCTATTGCTGTCAATAGTTGTATACGAAAGGGCTGCCGTGTGCCTCAATTCGTCTACAATTTTGCGACTGAAGACGTCGCGAGCTTTGGAGAGCTACCAACATTTTGAACTGTAACTACTACTGGGTAAGCGTGCAACCGGCTTAGATTGTGCCTATGACATCGTCTTATTTGGTGACGACTCGCAGAATATGCAAACTTTTCCGGACCGTTTGGCGATCTTAGTACGGAATATGCTTCACCCCGTTGAAATGCAAAGTACTGCTCTAGGACTGACACTCGCCTCTTCCCATGTCCACTCTTGAAGGTGCACAGCTTGAACATGTTGATAGGTTTGTATACTTGGGCTGCTGCCTGTGTGCTGGTGGTGCTATCAGCAAAGTGATCTCTCTCCGTATCGCTAAAGCCCACTCAGCGTTTGTCAACGTGCAACACTTGTTCCGTCGTCGGGATGTCTCCCTCTTACTGTGCCACCGTTCGGGCGGTGTTGATATATGGTAGTGAATCATGGCCATTTCACGTAGATGACATTCGCCGGCCTTCGGCCTTCGATAATGGCTGCTTGAGGAGAATCGCTCGTGTATGGTGGCAGCAGCGTGTCTGCAACAGTGAACTCAGATGTCGTATCTTAGAAAATGCGAGTATTCCCTTCAAGCTTGTTTTACTACGCCAGTTAAAATGGCTCGACCACCTCCTGCGTATGTTTGCCCTATCGCGCTCTGTTTGCTCGTACATAACTGGACTGGAAGAGGCCAGATGGCGGTCAACCATCCACCTGGCGACGGCATAAGAAATCATTGACTTCACTTCTTGTTACCGTTGGATCCACACATCTGCGTTGTTGGAGACCTAAGGACGAAGGGTGTCAATGGCTGGAAACAATGCGGGAAATAGCTCACAATGGAAATCAGTGGAAGCTCTTTGTACATACATGTTTCGATTCGGATGCTTAACGCTTAACAATTAAAGAAAGATAAAATAACGACAAAAACTGGTGTGTAAAAAATAACGAAATTGTTCCTTTCTTGCAGCACAATAGCTGAAGCGTGTTGCTTACCTTCAACTAATGTGCAATGATGATGATGCTGCGTTGACTCTACCTGTCATCCGCTTATTTCCATAGTTTAGTTTGACTCTATGTCTATTTATTAGACCATCTATAATATATAACTAATGGTATCAAGTACCTTATCGACCACTTCACTATGCCCCCGTTTTCGTTTGTCTGAATTGGTGAACTTACTGTTTGATCTATCAGCCGTACAGTGTTATGAATTCGTGTTTGGCGAAACAGATGATATTAGATTCGGCTTATTTCACGCGGTCACTGCCATTCAATACCTCCAGGATGCCTAAATTTGGGTTAGAGGTAGGACCAAAACCCATTGTCCATAGATTGCAAGCCAAAAGCCCTAACTACGCAGTTGTTGAGCGACTCCTGGGGCTGGATGCTGTTGCAAAGACATCGGTGACTTGCTAGTTATTTGACTGCTGACGATCGGGAACCAGAAAGGGCTAATCAGCCCACCTATTTTGGCAACTTAGTGTACAGTGATGTGCGTGCAATATTTATAGCGCACATACTGCGATTACCAAAACGGTTTTCATGAGGTTGCAATATCTCTGATGTCGGGGTTGGTCTCCTATCATTAAGCGTGATGTATAAAGAGTCATTTTGGGTGTCATACCTCGCTGCGACAACGGGAATTCGTCGTTTCGGTCTTTTGCTTATTACTGTTTACGGAACCTGGTTCCTTTCAAGTTTCAACATCATGCCGGAAGCGATGAGGCGAGTTCATGAGTACTATGACGTGGAGAACAGATCAACCATGTATTGGACCTTGTAAAGATGGTTGGAAACACTCTTTCTCCAATGGAATTTTCAGCAAAAGATCTATTGAGCAACCGGTGATCTAGTCTCGAGACAGTGTAAGCAGTTCACCAATAGGTCGATGTGCAGTCGGTCTTTTTCACTCTCGATGCTGGGGCCCCTGTGTTTGGCTCAAGCCACAGCGGGACCTGGTTCACAGTGGGCGTCTGTAGTGTGTTTTGATTTCCTCTCTTCGTTCAATTTAGATGTATCTGACGTTGCGTTCTCCATGATAGCAGATCGCTTGTGACGCGAGGTAGTAAAAGCTGCGAGAGTACTGCCTGATCGATGTCGCCTTTTCCTACCTTGATGATCACTTGCACATAACCGTGTATTGTAAGCAAACTATAGATCACTTCCGATTGTTTCTCCTTTGTTACCTTTCCCTATTGTGTTTGTGTGGCAGCGGATCATCATCTGACACAGTGCTTTTGATGACTGTTCTAAATGCATCAAATGGATGTTACAAGGCCATCATGATCGACCTTATGTCAAGCTAATTTGCGATTACACTCTCATGCATTGAATGCCAGAAGATAGCATTTTCCACCACTGTTTCTGCGAACGACTGGACGACTGCACTTCCAAGGTTGCCTGTCGGAAAGTAACTCAACCAGTCCACTTGAGCGTTTGTAGTGAGATCATGATTCGTCTGTCTATCACGTCAGTCGACTACATTCATTGTATTTCAGCACCTAATCGTTTAGGTTTCCGTGCTCTGATCTCAGTTCTCATCTTCATGTTAGCTTATCTGCTCATTTTTTATCCACTGAAAGTCCTCGCGGTATACTCAGCCCGCGCGCGACTGGTGGTGGTCGCGCGGCAGCGAAGCGCCGTTACGGCGTATAAGCTGACACACACACACACATTATATATATTTATATATTTATATATATACATATATATATATATATTTATATATATACCTTTGTGCTCAGCAGTCAACGATTTTGTAAATAATGGGCCACACTGAGGTTGTCCCTTTCACAATCCGACGCAAACCTTTCACATTTCTGTTTATAATAGGTGGCTCATTTGGAGCGTACCGGTCACTATCTGACAGTGAAAGACAATCAGGTGGTCCAACTTCACCCATCCACTGTTCTGGATCACAAACCGGAATGGGTGCTATACAATGAATTTGTGCTTACCACCAAGAACTACATCCGCACAGTGACTGAAGTCAAACCAGATTGGTAAGTTGCAGTGATATGCTTCCTGTGTGGGTGTGTGTGATTGCCGAGGGACTCCTGTAGATAGTCTTCACGATGTGATTTGGTATCTACTGAACCGGGATCGTCTCCGTTAGCTAGCCTGTGCTCTTTGCATGACTGCCTTGATGGGTATTGTTTAACATTACTGCTTCACCACTTGAGTGAAATCCCGAGGATGTCGGTCGATGACGTAGAGAAACAGCATGAGGACACTCAAATGGTCTTTGGTCCGTGTCATCGTCTTTCACTCGCTTTCCGACTTTTGGTCCTCATTTGCTTCGCCTCATGATATTAGCAGTTACTTATACTTGAGTTGTATTTTTATCACATTTTATTGGCTCCCATTTAACCCAGCTTCTCTTATTAAAACAACACCAACAACCAAAGTATGCATACGCGTTTTGCTCCTATGATTGGTCAAACGCTGGATTTAGTCCACTAACCCAACATTCTTCGGGGACAGTCTTTTGTGTTTTGGTTAAACCGGTCTTGTTCAATCCGATTCACTTATGTTCACCGGTTACTGAATGCATTCCATGATACTACATTGGCGAATAGAAAGCAATCTGATTGATCAGTCAATAACTTCAGCTTCTGTTTTCTCCTTAACTCTTTTGGATAGTTTAGAAATACAGTCTATCTCGTTAACACTCTATTCGGGCAACTGGTCACCGATTATTCACAACAAAAATGTCCGGAAACTCATTGTGCATACTGGATGGCTGTCATTGTTTTCTCCCCTGAGTTTCCTTGTTGAGAACTGGCTTCATTGATGCAATCTCTTTTTGTCTAATCACATACTGAACCCTTGTCTACCATGCCACTGTTTTCGGATATGCATCCGAGCATTAGCAGCATATTTCACATTAACTTCCGAGAAACGTCGACCCATAACCAGTTTGAACAGGGCAACATCTCAGACAGCGATGCAACCTTTTAAAAACTGTTTGTCATCGTAATTTGCCGTTCACCTACTTGACTGATACCAATAATCTTTCTGATTACGCGGGCTACTTTGTTTCAAAATCTCTTTTTACATGGATTGTGATATTGGTGGGTTTTTGCCTTAACAACCAGAACGGTACACATTTCAACCGTGCTTTTCGAAAACACATACATCGTCATTGTAAAGATCATAGCTTGCATGCACTGTATCGGGGCGCATTACCCAGCAAACGATTCCAGTACAAGCGCCAATCTATTAACTGTTTGGATGTGACGCTGCTCTTCACCCATTCTTACTCTCATTTGCCCGTTGAGATACCATAATGCGTTTTGATGTTCCTTTTGCACACATCCCGCTTGTAGGCTTGTACGGATCGCGCCTCAATACTACGACATGAGCAACTTCCCCGACTGTGAAGCAAAGCGAGTGTTAGAACGAATTGTACAGCGTTTTCAAAACAAGCGGTTGCAAGCAGAGCAGAAACAGGCGCAGCAGGAAATGAAGGTCAAAACATCAACTTAGTCCTCCACGTTTCCTTTTGATACACGACAACAATCGGACTGTGCATTTTCTGCCTCATGTTTCCACCCGCCACTCATTCACCATCGGATGCATAGGATGACCGACCCTACTTTGTATCGATAAGCATTCCCCGTTTCGCTGACATTTCAAATCGGCGGAACCCGTGCACAAGCACGCAGACCATCATGTTCTGTAATTAACGAAAATGAATATTCTCCCGTTGTACTTTGTTTATTCTCATTCATTAGCTACTGGATGGCCATTTTGTATGTCCTGCTTCATTTGTATCGCCGACGGCCGATCTATTGGGTTTGATTTCAGCAGTCGCTTTAGTATGCAATAGAACCGTTCGCCAATCATCTGTCTGTCACCAGTAGATTACAATAAAGTTTGACATACTTGTTTAGCTGCACCGGCTGTGTTTGAATTTGTTGAAAAATGCAGTATTTGTCTTCATCTTCGTAGTAATTTTCCCTGTGAAGGTTACACTTTACAAATTGTCACCTGCCTATATATCATCCAGTAGAGCGTCATTCCAGATGCCCACACGTCTACCGGCTGTGATATGCCTGTGAGATTTGAACAACACTCACCTTTCCTTTGTACGGTTTTGACGGCTCCTGCACACATTCTGGCGCTAGGTATTGCGGTGTCCCGATCGTTCCAGTCAACTCGGTGTCTTCCTGGACTTCCTCACTGAGTCCAAAGTCTGAAATCTGAGTCATTTTGGAATCTTTACACATTGCACGTGTTCATCTACATCGCATGAGTGCAGTCGTGATTTCTGAGGACGCATTGTATGATTGAGTCGCCTTTGGTACTACACTACGAATCTTTTGCAACTGTCGCGTTGTTGCCCCGTACCGACAACACACCCAGTAGCGACCATTACTCCAACCACCATCGTTATTGATACCATCAGTTGACAACATGCGCGTCGACTAAGTCGTTCAGGTTGAAAATAATAACTAACTAATATTTATGGACGCTGATCCAGGTTAGTTCTACCCATCTTAACTAGTGTTTCCTGTTGCGGTGCCAGTTAGCATTATCAATGTTTCTTTGCAAAAGCTGGTCATGCTGTCTGTCATTGTATGGATTCGGTGGGGGATTATTTCACCATTCGTTGACCATAAAAGGGATCCACTATAGTTATAGCACACGAGAGGCGACCTGATTCTCAATCTACCTTTTGGGGGCCCTCATGTATATGCTTGCTTACTTTCCTTACTGTCTTTCGTTTTAATGCCCTCTAGTACCCCATATGATCGCCAGCAATAAGTCCACTCTTCCCCGCCTTGGCTCCGGCGCCACTATTTGGTGATGAATCAATATAGTGCTTACAGTGACTAGCAATCGGTTATTTTCGCGTTTTCAACTACATGCCCTCAGTTCTGTTGAGCACAGGCAGGCTCTTGACCATCATGTAAGTTTAGCTGTTCCTGTTCGAGCTGTCCTACCTTCGACTCACTAGGGCTCTATTGCAAAACTGCACCTGTGTACCAGCAAGCGAGTCCAGTATTTGACTAGTGCAGGCAGTTGATGGTATTCCGGCTGATGTACTACTATCAGCTGCCATACTCGTTTTTAGACTACTTGAATGATTTCACACTAGACTCGTCACACCTGTCTAGCGTGTGTGGCTGCTCTCACCGAAATGATGCACTGAAGTTAGAGTGGTGCATGAACTACAGTCTATACTAGATCCTACTTCTGGAGTACTGCGTTCTTAAAGCAACTTGTTCGTTTCGGTTGTGAAGGGTGATGGGGGCTGTCTTATGCGTTCCGCTCTTAATAGGGTTAACTTCTTTCAATCCTCAGTGTCTATTCACTAACAGATGCTTTGACAGATTTAGATCAGGTTGAGCGGATGTTTGCTACTCTGGATGGATTGCACTGCCTCACTTACTCAGTTTTTGTGCCTCATGATCTATGCTGTTCAACGAGTTTGGTGACGGGATAACAAGACTGTAGCACTGTGGTTACTACTTTGCTTTTGCCCACAGACAATCATCATGGCACACACGCTTTGAGCTACACCTATCATTAACAAGTAAGATTCCTTGAGAAAACATCCTTTTAGGCACCAGATCCATGCATACGCTCCGGTATGAGTTTACTCGGATGTTGTGAGGATTGTATAAATCGCGGTCAAACCGCTTTTGCTTACCTTGATTTGGTCGTCGTCCGTAAGAAGCAAATTGTTTGGATTGATGTCTCTGTGGACTATGTTGTTATTATGCACTGATGCGTGATATAAGTCGGGAAAATCCATTTACTGTAACTGAGACCGCTCATCATGCCTTCAAGATATGCCCATATTTGGTCGTGTGCGAATGTCATCGTAATTGGTGCTGAGGCCAGTGATCTATCCATAGGCAGTGTAAGAATCAATTTCAGACTTACCCTCTTTCCAAGTATTCCATGACTGTCATTAAATATAAGCACATGACGTGATGCCATAACTTTGACTTTGTAGACTATGTGCAACTCAAGCGAGCAATCGCCCTCTGGCGTTCACATCTATGTTCATTTTGTTCCAGTTTTATTTTTGCCAAGGTTTTTCTCTGATTACCTCGGATCCTGTTTCACACCTTTACTATAACGCACTTCCACCGTTCATTTCAACCCCTAACTCTTCATCCGACCCTAATTTATCTCTTACTTGCATCATTGGGTGATTTGGGTACCCGATGTCAATTCTTTTCATCACAAATGGTTCGCTTAGTTAGCTTAGCAGTATTTACACATAATGGAAACACAGGCATGATTGAAACATGCAAAGTATTAGTAAGAACGTCCGATAAATCTCAAGCTCATCACCCCATTGCTACGCGAGATCATGCAGTGCCACTTACGAAACCCTCTGCTCCGTACCTCATGCGTTTTTCGACGTTTTTTCCTGCTTAAACTTATTTACCCTTGGGCCATTACACACTTCGTTTTACACTTTAGGTCTCGTTAAATTCTTTATCTGTCCGTGACTGTTTCATTACGGAACATATAACAAAGATGAAAATTCAGACCCACCTATTCCGATTGCATTTACGTCCCTCAGTAGTCCTATAAACTTGACTATGTTCTCATGCTGAAGTTTTTGATTTATGCGGCATTCGGTTGGTAACTTGTTCTGAGGAAGTTGCGACGACGTTCCAGCCGACAAGCTCGAATGTTGCTCGGTGCGTGCTGGTGGGTAGCATTTACTTGGCTCCTCGCAAGGAATCCATTTTACAATCTGTTTGAATCAAAATGGAGCGCTACTGACATAATCTTCAACCTTCTTTTTATTTGTTTCACGTATCTGTTTGACAAATGCCTCACCTTTCATGTCTCATATTGCAGGCGTGAATCATTTTGTGTAATGACTGAAGCCTGCCTCCTGACCTACTTCCGACACCATAACTTGATTGTGTAAGCTTGCGAAACGAAGTCACGCTGGGTTAGATATTTCTATCGTATTTGGTTTGTGAGATGCGCGCTTAATGGTATAGTCAGCAGTACGCAGGTGCGTCGTACTGACGCATAGATGCCACACGACCACCATCAGTCGCATGCGGACTAAAGATATTGCGATCTCGCCCTCATTCGGGTAGGTTCCAACCGGTGGCCTTTGGATTACAAACTAGACACTCGAACCACTCGGCTATGAGACGCGAACATCGCTTCCCATTGTCTTCCACAGTTTCGATGTCACATTCCACACTGGTGATCGTAAGGATTTGCTCAGTCCGAAGCATTTTTGGATACAGTCTCGTCCGTAAGACTACAGATAAGGAATTCACTGGAGTGACTTTATATGCGTCAGGTAACTACATTTTACTGCTTACTTTATGTTTCGCCGTGCAAACTGAAGAGCTGAACTACTGTGGCCGAACCATTTGTAGCTGGTGGATCAAAAATGCTATCCATTCTTCTACTGGTCAATGGTGCCTGAAAATCTTCGAGTACACCCTGGTCGATGTTTCTGCTCACCAGACTGTGCAGAAAGGGCCAGTGGCACCTTGGGTTTCAAACAAAATTTTCGTATGTGACTGCAATCCAGCCAAAATCTTTTGAAAAACGTATTCTACTCTTGTTTTCCTTCCATTGGTCCAAGTCTGGTGCTCAGACTTTTCACTCGGTTCCATGTAGCAAGCGAAGCAATTTCAAACCTACCTATTTCAAAAGCATCTGTACATGTGTCCGTTAGTAGTTCTACAAACCCGACTGTTCTCATGCCGCAGTTTTTGGATTATACGACGTTCCGTCGGCAACATATTTTGCGGAAGCTGCGACGTCGTTCCAGCGGTGAAGAGCAGAAGTGAGGCGTGGATACAGTGAGCCGACGTGCTGTTGATGCCTTTCTTTTGTCAAACGGTGGCTTACATTGTCATCCTGAGGTCGCCGGTTTGAGTCTGCGTAAATGCGGGTGCCCTTGCAGTTCACTCAGCCCTTACGCGACTGGTGGTGGTCGTGTGGCAGCGAAGCATCGATACTGTTTGTCGCCATACTGCTGATACCTTTTACCATAGCTCCAACCATCGCTGGCACCCTTCCCGTAACGGTCGTCCAAGCCGTGGTTTAAGTCAGTTTTACTCGCCATACTTGGAAATTATGCCCATGGAATTGTTCGAACACAAGGTGGCGAAGAGCACTCTTTTCGATAAATCTCATCTGACGTTTACAATTATAAAATATAAAGATAACACAGGATAAGCAGGTGAAGCGCGGCATCACCTTGTGTTCTAACAACACCATACTTGACATACCTTTCGTGGAATGACATGCTTAGCCATCGACATATCCAATAACAACTTATAGATTATGTGCTGAGGTACTTCGTAGCATACAATTTTTAAATGTAAAAGTTGTCAGTTGCCTATTCTCCATCTTCAGCACTGTTAAGTTACCGCCCTTCCGCCTAGCATCCATTCACCCCGAGGTGATTGGTAAAAGTCGAACGGTTCCATCTCTTTTTACTAGGCTCATCCCCAGTTTTCGTGAAAAACCATGGACTATGACTGCACCCTCCATACTATCGTTCGGTATGAGTTGACCTCATGTCCTACCGCATCTTAAATCCTCATAAATTTCCCATGCTAAGGCCACTACCAAACAAGGGCCGGATGTGAAGCACTCGCTCATCCTCTGTTCTCCGATCGGCGGATGTTGTATGTTAGGAAGTTTCCCAGAATTAACACTAGGGTCTAAATCAATACGGCTATTCAGAACATTACTTGACCCATATTTCACAAAAGCATGATTTAGCACGCGTTTCTTTGCGAACCATGACATGGCACGTTTGTGTTAGCCTTATTTATTACAATCTCACTCCAGAACATGAGGATCCATAGACTAATGACGCTGTTCCCATTGATTATAATCGACCTTATACGCAGTTGTACACGCTTTGTTTCTTCTCGTCCTAAATTCAAAATATTCAGTGATCACAAGGGATCTCGTTTTTACATATCGTTTCGGTTTAAGTCATCTTTGGTATCCATGCCAATTAATATATTTAACCATTTTATGGAACATATTATAGATTGTCGGGTCACATAACGGCATGACAGTACTTTTTATCCTTACAAGGTGGAATACGCCACTAAACCAATCTAACTAATCACTACCAAACTAAGATCAAATACTTCATTTGAAACCTTATTTTAATTTCTGTTGAATCTGACTTACTTTGGGACACCCCAAAGCATCCCCGCGTATAAGCTGTATGAGACAAAATCGACCCTTGATGTGTTAATAAACGATATGGGTCTTACCTTATGTATCACACTGATGTCACTATCTTTCATTTTTGAACTTATCGATTACACTGAAACAAAAATTGTCCGTTTACTTCAGAGTCGTCGGGAAATATCTAGAATTATTAATCAGAAGATTGTTGGCGATAAGATTATCTTGTTACTTTTGCACCTCATGCAGTTCTTATGGCTGTTATCTTAATTGCAGCGAGAGTAGTTAACTGGTTACTAGGACGCCAACCCACATTCATCAAGCGGCTGACTGCACTGACTTTTCCGTCTTTAATGAATCACCTAACAGCCTTTGATAACTCAAAGCAACAACAACAAAGCAACATTGCTATTTTTTGAGATAGAACAGGACGACCGTTGTTGCTTACAGCGTCACAAAGTTTTAGTGCAGATATGCATTTTTCTTGTCAGCTTGTAGTCACCGTCCACTTTATTTGATCAGCCTTCATGGGCGCACCGAAGTGCAGTTATGTTATCCATTGTCATATCTCACGCTCGACATCTACCTGCGTTGTTTGCGCTCAATACTAAAAGTAGAAATTACTTTATTATCCCACTGTTCATGGCTAACCTGCACCATCTTTTATACCTTCCCCGACATTTAGTTGTACCTTTAACATGATTATGCCTACATAGGCGTGCCTCGCATTGCCCGAGAATAAAGCATTTGTTTTATTTATTTATCCAAGTCGGTATCCATGAGCCTGAGGGAGGGTGGTGACGGCCGGACTTACAGTCTCGACGGCCAACTGCTACACCCCAAACCTATGAAGGACCTAGGAGTACTCTCACGTTGCGACTTGAAGTCCGTTGACAACACGAACAGGCTATATCGTAACGGATTGCTCATGCTCTGGGCACTCAAACGTAGTTTCCCCATCTGGTCTGAAGAGGTTGCCACTCACCTCTTTTCCTCCATCATCAGACACATGTTAGTACGGATCGCCCGCCTATTTCCTGAACACTCGCGTCGAGGCGCAGAAGATTGAACGGGTTCAACACGCCGTACTAGGTTCATCCCCAGCTTACGAGTCTTACCGTAGGAGGACAGGTGCAAGAGACTGGGACTGTTCACTTTGGCATACCGTCGTTTACGTGTCGAGCTCATCACTGATTTACCAGATCCTACATGTAGGTGACTCCCCCAAGCTAAGGTCACTGCTGCAATTACGAACGTCTTGCAGCACACGCGGACACCAATACAAGCTTTTGGTTCCAGCTATGAAGCGAGTTCCCCATCCCCTGTGCTTGGAACGGTGAGTGGTAAATGTCTGGAACGGTTTGCCGGAACATGTAGCGGAAGGGAACTCAGTGCATCTATTCAAACGATCATTGGATGTACGTTTCTCAAATATTACATTCCGAGAACGATTACTCACAGGCATCTCGCGTTTTTGAGTCCTAACCTACTGTGAGTTGGATGATGGTTAACGATATAAAGTGTTAAATGATCAGCGTATCGACAAGTCATAGTGCTTTTTAACTTATTTGGTTATATTCCACATGGGGTTGTACAGATTCGAATTTCTACTTGCTCTCACAATACAGTATTCCGGTCCGCCGCTGCTCAGCTATAGGGGGACGCCAAGTGGCACTTCGGCGCCCACTGTGCCTAAAAGCGGGGCTACTAAGAAGCACCCGATGTTCTGCGCACAGTTGTAACAGACCGTCGCCGTTGTCCGTACGATCGGAGTCAAGTCCGTACTTAGCACCTAGCTGAGCTTCTGAAGAACCCAAGTGACTTACTTGAGCATTCATATCCCCTACAACAACATCTGCACTGGTAGCACTACGTAGTAGCGTGTTCAGTTCGTGGTTGTAGTTATCCTTCAGAACATCGGAACTGCAGTCGATGCAGGCATGCGCGGAAACCACAAACAAACGGTTTTCGATGCTACTTTTTGAATCAATCTTAGTTGATTTCATCAAACGGGCTGCTCACGGGAATGCAATCAACCAGCGACGACAGCCCTGGAGCTGAGGACAATGTCTACTCCAACATTGAATACTGATTGCCGCATCGGCGTCCCCGGATGCGTGTAATCAATAACGGGAGGACGAACTTTGCGCATTTAGTTTCACATCTCCTTGCGGGTCATTTATCCAAGTTTCGGACACACAACACACGTCATTACCCAGTGTGTCCAGCGTGCGTGCGAGTACAGCCTGTTGATCTGTATACATAAATAACGCCAGGGAAACGGGACAGTATGATCTCATAGGGGTCTCTTGGTGATTGACGTCCGGTTGGTGATGCGGGAAGATACCTACAGATTGTGGAACTGCAGTCGCATTGCGGCTGTTGTCAATTAATTAATTACTTCTTAATGGAAGGAAGGTTAATAATAGTGATCTGGAGGGTGTAAGAGAAACAGGTGGAGAAGAAAGAAGGGAGGCACCAGCATCATCATCATTACACGTTAGCTGGAGGTGGAAAACACCTCAGCTATTGTTCCACAATACAAAAGACAAGAAAAGGAAAACAAACAGTGGCACTCCCGCTGAGTCTCCAGTAACGGATGGACATCGTTCCGGAGAGCTACCAGCTGGCTGCCGTAATAGAGAGCCATATTATGCCTAACAAGTGAGATCGCGATTGGAGGGGGATGCTAAGCAGGAGGGGAATGGACAAATGAACTCACAACACAAACGCCATTGGGGTCGGCTCCAAGCCATATCAGCAAGTGTGTCCAACCAAGCGTGTTCACCGTCCTTAGGATCCCAGCCAGGTAGTCGGGATGCACCAACCGACGCCAACTTCGAAGTGAGGGTTTTCATTTCTCTCGACCAAGTCATCACTTGGCCTCTCCTCCTCCTCTTCTAACCGCACCCACAACGCTCAAACAATGCACGTCGCGGGATACGATGTGCTGGCATGCGCAACACGTGGCCCAGCCATCGGAGCCTGGTGCGTGATATAATGGTGCTGAGCGGTTCACTCGCTCTTCCTGCACCAAATACGCGACGTCGAACACGCTCATTGCTCACGCGGTGTTCCCACCAGAAATGAGCTAAGCTGCGAAGGCAGCGATGATCGAATGTGACGAGTCTCTTCATATCTGTCGACCTGATGGGCCAGGTTTCACAGCCATATAGGAGAGTTGAACGGACGGCTGCGTTGTAAACTCTGCCCTTCAGGGCGAGAGTAATGTCGCGTCTTCGCCACAGGTGGCGGAGATTGGCAAAAGCACCTCGAGCTTTTGCTAAACGGTTCGTAACCTCATCTTCAATCCCATGGATGCTAATATAGCTGCCCAGGTACTTGAATTCCTGGACGACTTCTAGCAGATCACCACCAATCGTTAGCGCAGGGTTGGGTCCCTGCCAATCTTGGAGAAGTACTTTGCATTTCGATGAAGAAAAGCATAGCCCAAAACGATTGACAGCCAGTGCTAATCAGTCCAGTGTTGTTTGGCATGTTTGGGAGCTGTCACAGATTAGGGCAATATCGTCCGCATACTCCAAGTCCAGAAGTCGCTCACCAGGAAGTAGCTCCACAGTTTCTAAGTCGTGTCCAGCGAACGCTGTTTCCATGACTTCATCAATAGCGAAGTTGAAGAGGAAAGGTGACAGCGGGCATCCTTATCTCACACCGCTGGTGATACTGAAGGGTGGCGACATTTGGCCATAAAGCCTCACCCTGCCCGAGCTATGCGCGTACAGCGCTTTGATAATATTTACATATTTATCAGGCACACCTTTCCTCAACAGACAGTCTCAAAGGGCACATTGCTCGATTGAGTCGAAGGCACCTTTTATGTCGAGAAACACGACAACGGTGGGTCGCCACTAAACATGGCGGTGCTCCAACACTTGACGCAAGGTGAAGATGTGGTCGATGCAGCCCGACCTTGACGAAATCCGGCTTGCTCTTCACGAATCTGGCTTTCACGAATGCCAGTCAGTCTGTGGAGAATGACAGAGGCAAGCAATTTAGAGGCAATCGAAATCAGACTGATCCCTCTATGATTGCCGCATTCCAAACGGGAGCCTCCCTTGAAAATTGGGACAACGACGGAGCGGTTCCAGTCTGTCGGGACTGTCTCCTGCTCCCAAAGTTTTACTGGGAACTCGTGTAGATCATCTACTAGAACAGGTCCCCCTAATTTGAAGAGGGCTGGGGGAGTTCTATCTGCCCCTGCGGCCTTATGCAATTTCAGCAGCCTGATCTCACGTTCGACTTCTGCGCGTGAGGGCGGATCCAAGGAGATGGCCCAGGGAGAAGGGCGCTCAATGCCCGAAGAAGAAAGCGATAACTCAGGTTGGTTAAATTGCCTTGCAAAGTGTTCAGCCCAACGCTCCAAGCGTTTTGACAGGCTGTGGATCGGCTGCCCACTCTCGTCGCGTATGGTCTTGCTAGCACCAGGTTTCCTGCTGCCTGTTTCCCGTATCAGACGGAATAACTTACGATGATTACCAACGGCAGCGGCTGTTTCCATCTCAAAGGCACGATGAGACCACCAGGTTTCGCGGTCCTTCTTCAGGCTAGCACGTAGTTTTGCCCTGAGATTTTTGCGAGTCTCATTGTATTCGCTTCCAGCCGGAATACGTCGGCAAGCATCCATAAGTTCCAGAGACTGTGGAGAGACCCAATGTTCGGTTTTGCAATTTGCTTTGCCACATGAAGACATGCCTGCTAACAGCAACGCTTGACGAATATGCGGCCAGTGATCTTCAACGGTGTTTAGTGGGCGCTTACTCAGCCCAGATGTCAGCGCACTTTGGTACAAATTCAGAATATCTGGCTTCGCCAGTTGGCTGGTGCCAATCCGTTCACATCGACGTTGCGGACGTCCACCGAAACGCACCAGGAGGTCGGCACAGACAAGTGCGTGGTCAGAGTCCACGCTCGTGCTGCAAATCGAGCGACAGTTTTAGACACAGCCTCTCCAGCGGTAACTGGTCGCGATATGATCGATTTGCGTCCATGGTTGGCCCGAGGCTGCTGGCCGCCAAGTCACACTTCTGCGGGTGCTGTGTCGAAAGTTGGTGCTCGCGAGAAAGAGAGGAGCATTTTCACACAGCTGTAGCAATCGCTCACCATTATCATTACGGGAAC